AGAATAATAATAATAATAGTTATTATTAACAATAATGACATAAGAATCAGAATAATCATTCATACTAATGTAACGAGAAGAGTTGTCATCATAATAATCACCACGAAAAGTCGGTTTAGGTCGACTTCGAGGATGAGGGCTTTCAGGGTCTTTTTTTTAATCACCTCTTTTCCTTCGCCTGAAAAGGTGTCGGTAATACCATGTTGGTTGAGGCTGGGTGATGGGAGCTTAGCACAACTCAGAAGGGATTCACCACCCCACTACCACTTAAACCCCCATGTACTCCCCACACTAAGCTCCCAATAGCGCCATGAAAGCCTTGGGCTTAGGGTTTTTGGGCGACTGTGGCTTGGGATTTACTGGTTCACGGTTTGAGCTTTGGGGCCTTATCAGGCTTTGCTTTAGGAAGCGTGCTGGCCATACCATCACAGATACTATACAAAAGATTCTGTTGGTTGAAAGCAGAACGGTAATGCTAATGCTACGAATACGCATCTGAAACATGGACAGTGGCGAATATGGTGTGCATTTCAAGATGCTAGCAGCAACAAGAGTGGGAGTAGGGGGACTATGCTCAGGAATGATAGATAGTGATAGTCTTCGTAGCTCTCCGAGTTTGAGAGACAGGTGCTCAGGCTTTGGGGTGAGTTCAGGGGCAGCTCACAGACTCGTCTACCGCGAAGCAAGGCACTGGCAAGACGGGCCTCAACGCGGAAGCGGTGATACCTGCAGTGGCAGCCGGGCTTGGGCCCTACGGGCTCCGGTAGAAGAATCAACGATCTGGTGAAAGTAATCCGAGCGCACACCATCCACCAAATGCCCTTTTCGCCCCATTGGCCCGGCCTGGCGGGAGGAGGCTGGCCTGGCAAAACTTGCTCAAGGCTAACCGGCTGGGTTTGTTGCTTGGTTCATGCGGTCGGACTGCTGTGTCAGAGTTTTCATAGGGCTACTTAGTTCAGATACTAGAAGAGAAGTTGACGATCTTTCGTGCCGGTGATGGTCCTTCTTGTATACGAGACATGTGTAGAATAGAGCCAAGAATGATACAGTACTCAGGAAAACGATCATCATATGTCATCCTGATGCTCACGATCATGATCGTCATGGTAACCCTCTCAACAACAACCATCACCATCATCGTGAGCGTCAGCAGGTCATCCCATCATCATCATCATCATCATCATCATCATCATCACAACCAGAAGCACCCATCTCGGCCAGCGTGGTAATTGTCATGGCACTCATGCCAGAAACATTTGCAATCACGGCCACAACAGAGACTAGGAAGCACGCAGCAAAATAGCAGCCACAGTCGGTGGTATTGCTGGCTTGACTTGCTTTCCCCAGAACAGTCCTAGAAGGACTCATGCGGGACTCTTGAAACAAGCACTTCCGATGCCGTTCGTCCTCGATCGAGCGGTGCCCAGAAAAATCAAGCCAGACTCAGAACTAAGTGTCCTAAACAGGTCCCAAAAGCCCATCGAACCCGTTCAAACGAAGCTCTTCCTCGTCTCGCTTTGCAACGGTCAAGCCAGCCTGCCGGATCGCCGCTGCGTGCGCTGCGGCACAAGCCGTGGGCCTCGGGCTTGGGCATGAGCATGGCAGGAATGCAACAGACAAGGCAGCTGGTAGCATTATATGGTACGATATAGTACTGAACTATTGCATAGTGCTGTAGAGCATTATACAGTAGTGTATAGTAGTATATGTGTACGTAGTCCTTTAAGGCATTAATTATGTCATACACTATCGTTGCTCTACTTGAAAGTATTTCTAGTATATATGATGCTGCCGTGCTGCTCTCTGATGTCTCAACCTATTAGATGTACAGATGCCTGGGCTAATCGGCTAATGACTTGCAAGGAAGACATCCAGGTATCGGAATGTCCAGAAGCTAGCGATGGGGATTCCGTGCAAACTGACCCCTTGCTTGAAAGTCAGCTCCAAAGATCGGTGGGGCCCGGATCATGCGCCGCAGTGAGAGTTGGAAAGAGCCTGTGCTGCTTGGCAGGTAAACCACCACACCCACGGCCGCCGCCAACAGTGCATCATGTCAATGCACCGAAGTGCGAAGCCGAATACTGTGCCAACCAGGGTCCGAACCGGCAGCAGGCGCACGAAAAATAGAAGTGTCCGCAGCACGACACTCAGCCGACGGACGAGTGTCTGGTTGTGCCTGCACAATTCTCTCGGACTGCATGCCCACAACTCTCACCTTCTGATGCACGTTCCGGCCTGTCTAGCTGAGCCGTTGGATCCGGCTGTGCTGCAGCCGGGAGGTACCTCGACGCCAGTGCTTGAAGGTCAGCAGTTGCTGCGAGGTTCGGGAGAGCTTATTGAAAAGCTCAGCATCTGGGCTGGGAAGGTCCTTAGATCGAAAGTCCTTTGCTCTCTCCTCCTGGGCTCCGGGACGTGAAGGTCCATCGCTCTAATAGCTGGCCAGCCTGGTGTGCGAAGCAAAACTCAATGGGACCGGTGGATGGGCGGCAGCAGAATTGACCCAATCAAGCTTCATCTATGTACGGGCCGGCAAGTGTTCAGGCCCAGAGAGCTTCTACTTCTTTGTGGGGCATCGCCAAGGTGAGAAGACCGCGCGGGAAATGCCCATTGACGTCCAGGTGCGGGGTGTCAAGACTGCTATGCTCTGAGTGCCCCAGCACCATCTTTTGGAAATAACAGTAAAGTGCCCCGTCGGTCTGGAGTCTACACAGAAATGCCAATGGCCCTGATCCGACGGGCGGACCTCCTCACTGGTTCCCTCCTGCTGATGAGCAGTCATCTTGGATCACTTGGGGCGTTGGGTTTCCATTCCTGGTGGCCCATGACAGTTGCAAGCAATCTCGACAGTAAACGGCTCTATGGTCGATGTCATTCCGACCAAGCTTCCTTCGGACGTCGGACTTGCTTCGAGCCTTGCTGTGCTAGGAGCTGCTAGCCAGCCGAGAACCCTCCCCCAAAATCACATGGTGTCCTCGTCTTCGCCACTCACATAGATCTCCACTTGGAACGACCTGCAAGCAACTAGCCTTATAGCCTAGAGCCTTACCACCACAGCCACAACAGTTTAGGAACCGCAATCTCGGAAGCTCTGCAAAGGCTAAGGAGCCTCAGAGAAGCTTTCGGTTCATCGCCTATCGTGATGACATTATTGCCGTAGCTTGATGGAAGACAGAGAGCCTGAATTTTTAGAGGCATACAAGGCTCTGCACACTAAAAACCGAGCCGGGTTCATGTCAGTCCATCATGGATCGAATACCTTATGATAGAAAAGACTGCCCTCGTATTGTCCAGACGAAGCCGGTACTTCTCGCGCAGGCGAGCCTTTGCGTCCGGAGTTGAAAGAACTCGGCCCGAGCCACCGCCTCGTTTCGAACGTTGAACAGCTCGGGCACCTCCCAGGCAGCATAGAAGTGCAAGAAACCCTTACTCCTGGGTTCTTCTGGTCACTCTGACGGGGTGCTCCTGGGCATGACAGACGTGACAAGTGAAACTGCCACTTCAATCCGATCTCTCGGGGCCCTGCCTTCAAATTAAAACTGGCCGACGTCTGCTGCGGGGTCCCAGTCGGCCCTCAGTGTGGCTGAATATTTCAGCTGGAAAGTCCACACGTCTTTTGAAGCTCAGCTCGAACATCTTCAGCTTCACGGACGGCGTAGCATTCATTCTAATTCTCACATCATGCAAAAATCTGAGCAGTTCAAGGGAAAGGGTCATATATGGAGTCAAAAGTCAAACCGGGCGTCCGGCTCGGATGGTCCACCCGCGCGGCCAGGATGATCTCCGCAGCTTGGACGCACCATTCACTGTACACCTGCTGGCTCATTGCAGAGCTGTGTGTCACTGTGCAACTGCATGGCATCTTACCACCCTGCTACGACAGCACAGACCAAGTGCAAATGCCATCCCATGCAGTCAGCATCAGCTTTCGAGTCTTTGGCATCTCGGAGAGCTTCCGCATAGGTGAGTACAGAATGAAAGCCCGAAACTCTAAACTCTAAACCCTTGCAATCTTCAGTGGCTATATGGTATCATGCTTTATGTCCCACAGTTTTGCACCATGTGTTATTGTAATCTACCATGCTACATTAGCTTACCTTATCTTATGTCATAGTGTACTATATGGGGGTTTCCGAAATTAGGGGACCCTAATATGGTACCCTAAATAGTAGGATCCTTATTATAAGGACCCCAAAATAAGGTACCCCTTATTTTCGGAAACTCCCATATGCTATTAGAAGCATATTGCTCAAGGGTCGCCTTCTGAATTTCCCGCAGTCGGACTTGCCCTGCCGACATGCAGCCTGGAGTCGACGCACTCGAGATGGCTGGAATTCAGTCTGGATGGGTTTTGGAGGGTTTGCTATCGTAAAGCTATAGTTAATCGGATAAGCAGGGGCTTTGGGGTTTTATACAGGGACTTTGGGGTATCTTATGCTAGAACTATACTGGGCTAAGAATAAGGAGTGTAAGGGAAGGATTCTGCTGTTTCTTGGGCTTCTGCTTTTGGGGCGATGGCTTCGGGGTGGGATTTGGAAGTTGCTCGGACAAGCCTTCACATACTGCAACCGTCCTGGAGACAAGAGCTGGGGTCCGGGCAGACGCGCTATGTACACGTGCACGGAGGCTTCGGGCGATTGTGTAAGCTTCGGGGTGTGAATGAAGGGTCCGGGAGGAAAATAAGCTGGGGGGGAGCTTCCTCCAAGGCTTGCTAGCAAAGCCCGCAGGAAAGCTTTGACTTCGATTCTGGAAGTCAAAAGTCAATATTAGGGAAACGAGTTGGTTTCAGCTTCTGGTAGATGGATGCTAGATGCTGGAATCTCTCTGAGCCTCTCTCCTGCTAGCCGGGAAAGTTGCGAGTCACGGGCTTCGAGCACTGTGCAGAAGTGCTTTCTTCTGTCGGCCGCGTGGTACCAGATGCCAATAAGGGAGCTTTCTGGCGTTGATCTCTGGTCTCATAAATGAGTCGATAAATCAAAGTTGTGTGGAGCTAGAGATGCGCCACTGACCTCCGCCCTGCCCCCTCGGGTTTCAGCCCAGAGCTCAAAGACCCTGCTGTATTTTGGCAGGGCTTCGAATTTTTCACCGGCGCGTGGAGACGAGCAAGACCAGAAAAGGCAGCTTGCGGTTTGACCATTCATGCTGGAAAGACAGATCACCCACGACAACAGCAGGATCACTGAAGTCCTAGAAATATGACCATCTTGTCAGATGAGCTCTGTTGCGCGCACGAGTCTGCAGCGCCACAATACATTGAGATAACGGATAAACATGATGACTACTGCTCTTTCTTGGTGCTGAAACTAGCCATAACACGATGCAAAGCTCGAAGCATGACGAAAACCTCAGCATGCCTTGTCGTGACTTTGTCATGCTGAGACCAAATTATATAGAGATAGAAGACTGATGATCATACATGTCGGCATAGTAGTTGTGGCGAAGCGGAACAGTACGAAAAGACTGCTAACTGCACAGCAAAGTACTGAAAGAAAAGAAACGTAGACGTAATCGTAATGGTAAGCTTTGGGTGAAGGTCTGCCGTCTCCACTCTCCAGCTCACTCTGTGCTTCTCAAGACCCAGCTGGGCCACTTCGGCGCAAGCTCCAAGCAGCCCTTTAAGGCTCGGATGATCTGCTGAAAAAAATCGAGCTGATGATCATGTATGCGAGGATGCTTGACTGCCTTTGCAGCACCGGCTTTAAGGCAAGGCGGAAGTAGACGCGTCGGGCTCGCAAACTCGTTTTTGAGTTTCCTGAAAATGCCCGGTGTCAGACCATAGTGGCCGTTCACTGCGGCTAAGCACTCCAAGGCCGATGCGGCCAAACAAGGACGCCCTGCAGAAACCTGGAAGGCCAGGACTACAACAACACCGACGCGTCGCATTGATTCAACAAACCACTGGCCTGGAGTACTAGCCAGGAATGGTCACATGCCTGCTTTCTGTTGCCATACGTCACGGGCGCAGGCCAGTATATATGGCCCGCCGCAAGACAACAAGAGGTGTTTTCCTCTCGTTCCTGTGCCCGCAACTGCTGATTCCTAGAAGTTAGCACGTCACCGAACTTGTCGTTCCCAACCCTAGATTATATGTCGCTAGAGAGTCTAGAGCGGAGTTCTTCCAGAAGTCTGGAACATAACCCTACAAACCCTACTCCGTTACACCCGCCTACCCCATAGCTCTCAGCGCTAGCGTGGGGGCGGCATCCTCACAGACATCAGACAAACCGCAGCTTCAGGTTTCGGGGGTTGGAAGGTCCAAGAGTGACGGTTTAGGGTTCAGGGTTTAGGGTTTCGGGTTTAGGGTTTGAGACATCGGTTGTGCCTTGACTTTCAGACCTCAAGCAAGCTTGGAACTCCTCGCAGTGCTCGCCTGACAGCTGTAGAAACATCGTACCCAAGACTGCGACATTTCTATCCGAAGGAAAGAAGGTATGAGAACGAACCGCCCGAAGTAGAGAAGTAGCCACTGCTTCTACCACGATCTCCCACAAACTGTGCACTTCTCCCAGACTCTCAGCTGTTTTAGCCCTTTGCTGTGTCCATCCTCGGCCCTGCATGGGCATAGACCGGCGGAGGAGGTGCTGTGGGAGGGGGCGCCTGGCAAGAGTCGAGTTTACGATCAGACCGATCAGACAGTGGCCTTTAGATGCGTGAACTGCAAGCAGAAGCTCAGCCACTACGCAAGTCCAGAGAGACCCTCTAGCGCTAGCAGCCCGAATCAAGAAGAAGCCTTCCTTCGAAGCTTGATCTCGCGGGTTTTCGGGATGGGCTGCTGAGCGTTAGAGTTTGAGATCTAAAGCAGTGTTGAGACATACATATGATCACACGCACTGCATCTTTACACGACGAACCACGCCGGGATGACCCCAGGATAGCCTGCGAGACCAGACTGCACACCGTCATGGCAGTTTTCCAAGCAGTCACGCTCGAGCGTCTTGGTTGTGGGTCGTCGAGTGCTGATGCTTCAACCGGTTCCAGGAAGCAAGCCTCAAACACCCGACGGCAATGGCAGCTAGATGACCTAGAACCCCGCGTCGGCACTGCGAGACGGCACCCTGCAAAGGTGCGCAGGAAAGAAAGCAGCCGAGTGTTACAAGTAGAGACACTGTAACTAACCAAAACGTGACCACTACCAGTATCTATTCTGGACACACCAACTCGTGCAGCACATCCACCACTACTACTGCCACCACCTCACCACCACCAGCGCTACAGTCACTCAGTAGCATAAGACCAAAACCGGAGCCGCCTCAGCGTGGAGGAAGTGCGGTCACAGACAGGTGCAGCTTTCTGCTCACTCTGAAGGGATTGAAGTTTGTGGGCTTGGGTTTAGAGTTTAGGGCTGGGCGACAACATCAGGATGTGCGCGGCACGCCAGCATGCTTTGCGGCTGGGAGCCCATGGCCTGGCGTCGGCAGGGGCGGGAGATGCCCGTGGGCCCACGGCGGCGGCCTGGTTGCAAGCAGTACACATGGTGCGACAAAGCTGAGGGCTGCGGCTTGCTTCCTGTTCCGCCGCCAAGACTACTCTCAGCCTTCTCGAGTCATTGCATGTACGGCTCCATCTCGGGCTCACTGGAACTCTCTTGTTTAAAGGACACTGCGGCCTGCTCCGCGACTGGAAATTGCAGGACCGTTGTTGAGGCGATAGGTCCCTACCTTTGGCCCTAAAGATCCAAATCACGCGTACTCCCGCAGTTGATAAGCACCTAAATTCTACTCTGCGCCTCGGGTCTGGTGGCGGCTGGTGGTATCCGTACCTTGGCATCGAGCTCACATACCTGGAAGCCTGAAGCTAAACATGCACATTGTGGCCTACAGTATGATATCTTGTCTTCAAATTATGATGCAAGTTGTATATAGCATTATATAGTCTTACATGTTTCTATTTCAGACCAACTCATGCCAATGTACATTATACCGATTTGGCTGGATGACCACTTATTGCACCATTGCCTGTGTCATCAGGAAGGACCTTTGCGTTCGATCGCCCAGCGACACGTCCAGGACTCTCAACGACGACGATCTACGTCGCAAGGCCTCAACAAGGCCTCTAGGACTCCTCACACGCTGGGCCCAGTATGCATGAGATCTTGCTATAGCTTCATGTGTGTTACGACATACTGCTTGGTTGATACAACTGCACAAATTTGCGACATAAATACTAGATCAACATGTGATCCACAGCTGAGCTGATGACAGAAGCAAAAGCAACTGCTAAAAGGCGACCTATGGGGCTCGCGATATAGGACCGAGACTATGAGCATTGCATGGCTAGCTTCTTCAATACTCGAGCACGATGGCGGTGATGCTGATTACGATTTCCGGTTACGCCCTGCTTTGTGATCATCAGCCCTTTCGTGATTATGACAAGTGTCATCCCCATCGTTGCGGCCGAGTGGCGGGTCGACCCCTGCGACAGCGGCGGCAGCTGCTGCTGCCACGGCCGCGGCGGGATCGTATGGCCTCAGGGACTCGTCAATCAGCTCTGCAGAACTTTTCAGGAAGAGAGCTTCTTTTGTGGCCAGGCCAACACTCTGCTGTGAGTGGTGATGAAGCTTCTTTCTGACAGAAATGTGTTGCTGCACGTATCACCCTACGTTCAGACACTTTCGGCCGCGTGCGCGGCAGCCGCAGCGGCGGCCGCAGCCGCTGCCGCGGCACCTGCGCCATAGCCTCGCCGTGTATTCGAAAGCCGATCCAAAACTGCTGAGTCCTCAAACTCTACTCTTGCAGAACATCTTACGGCTGGTCCTAACTCTGGACATCCAACCCAGAAGAGAGCAAGCTAGATCATGGGCTGAGCTGATGGCTCATTCCTGCGTAGTAAGCATCCAATTGCGCTGCGCTCATGTTCGCCTTAGTGCGGGATGCTTTGTGTGCTGTCTGACTAGGAGCCCAATGCCATTATTGTCATTACTATTCCGATTCTTCGTCCTCTCACTCTTCTGATGCCGGCGAGTATGACTTTTCTTCGAACTTCTAGTGAGAATCTAGTATTGTTATGACAGTCTTACTATTTCTGTTCTGGGATACTTCAGTCTGTGTCTCAGTGCAGCGCAGGCGGTATCGACTGATCCGGGATTGGATACAACGGATCGTCTGGCAGCCTCAGTCCCAACACTGGTAAACGTATGAGCACGAATAAGAACGACAACTGCAGCAGATCGACGACTAATTCCACGACGACCTCCACGTCAGCAGCTCGAAGACGACGACAACCACTACCAAAAACAACCACCAGTACCACCAACAAGATGATGCAGCATGAATAACGCAGCCCTGTAAATGCCGAGCAACGCAGCAATACTACTGCGGAACAATCGGCATGCTGAAATATCAGTTACTGCAGGCTTAGCAAGGTAATCGACCATTAAACAGTGGGCTCGGCCCTTCGTCTTAAGTGAGAGACGCAGGATAAAGAAGAGCAGGGTGCCTTGGGTCCTAGGTTTGTCCTGTTTGCTGCGGAGCGCGTCGACTCCACAAAACAATCTTGAACAGCAGAGCTAAAGAACTGAGACGTAGCATCTGCTTTAATCGAGCGCTGTCTCAAGGCCACCGCATCCAAAGCCCACCAAACAGTCTTACTTAGGTTTCAGAAGAACCAGCGTAAATCATCCACCTTGAGCTCTTGGCGGCAGAAGCACCAAGATCAAGCACTTTAGGTTCCAGTACACCCAAACACCCCAAGCGCCAGATGCTGCCACTTGGCTGACCCTGAGTATGCGGCCCCCGCGCGACGGTCGGAGGCGGATTCGGCGGAGGTCCCAAAGGAACCTATCGAGACCGAGATTGAGGGCATCAAAAGTCTGGGTTTTACGGTTGAGGTTTCGAAACGAAGTCGCACTGCTTCTATGCTTTGCGCCTGTGGTGGCAAGCCCCACACCTGGCTCGCAAAGCAGAGCTTGTGCAGCTGCGCAGTACAGCAGAGGAACAAGCAACAGCCTCTAAAACCCAGCTTCAGAAGATCAGCGAATCACACCCTGAGCTGTGGGAGAGTCCGCAGACCAGGTCTGCGGTCTGGGAGAATTTTTTGTTGCACAAAGAAGCAAAGCTTTGTTCGCCGGTCGAGCTTCGGAAGCAGGTTGAAAAGTCTGGTCCTCAACTTCAGACTCATTCCCACGAGAACTACGCCCAAAGCCCTGCCCCAAGTGGCAAACTGCAAATCAGCACTCCTGACGGCAGCATCATCACCCATATTGTTTGTTACTGCTGCGATCATGATGATGCTGGTGATGATGATCATCATCATTCCGTTCTCAATCATTCTTCAAGCCATTCCTTCGTTCATCACTACCAGTACCTGACATACCTACCGCTACTCCACTCATGACCATCATCAGGACTTCTTCTCTGCTAGACGCTAGCCCTGCTGAAGCGCGGCAGTCCAACCTCATGGCTGGGCCGTTGACTTTGCCCAATGATCCCCGCATTTCGAGGCCTTCGTAGGCTTCATCTTGGTTCGGGCAATACGGGGAGTGTTCTAAAGTTAGGAAAGCACATTTTGGCGTACATGTACTTTGCCTAAAGACCTGCTACTTGGGCTCTGCATTGAGGGTACCGTATCTTCTACAACTCCTGTGCATTCGAGGAGTGGGTAGTTCTAAGCTTACAATGACAAGTTGATATTGAACTCAGTTCATCACAACAGCACCGGGAGCAAGCACAACTGCCATGGTAAGAACCTTATTCTGAAGTGTAGGAGCTACAGCAATAGAGGGATATGGATAGCGAACTGAATTAGCATGCTTCCTCGCATGCCAGTCTACAGGAGTTGGAAGCTCGATCCTTTCGTCACGATTATCGAACCAACAACGTCCACCAGCCCCAAACCTGTCGAACTACGCATGTCAACTCTGAAAAGGAACTACCAGACAGCAGGAAAAACAACTAATTACTTTGCTGATGCTTGCAGACTGCATTCCAATCAAGAGAGCAAAACGTGGGAGGAGCGGTTTCTTGGCCTGCGAACAAGTACAACTCTATAGTCCACTTAGGACATGTCTCTGAAACTCCCCTCCTCTTCCCCCGCACGCGCGGCGCGTGTTGGCCTTCCCATGTGGTCGGTGTCATCTTGCTGCTCCATCGATCTGCCCTCCCCCTGCCAGGGCTTGAGCTCAGCTTACGGCTTAGAAGGCTCTGTCTGCTTAGCAGAATCTCTCATCTATCTAGGAAGCTGGGTTTATCTGCTAGCGAAGCCTAAAGGAGTATTATTGGGGCTCAGAGTTTTAAGTTTCATACTCCGTCCGGGGTCTTGCCAGGCTAGCCGGATTTGACAAAAACAACAATGCCTAATGACGGACATCTTTCATTGGAACATCATGGAGACTCGTCTGACGAGTCAAGGCTTCAGGGCCGCTCATAAACAACACCATCGGAGGCAGTTTTCGTGAATGCGACTGAACCATGACGCCAACCATCGCCCTTTAAACGCATGTCGGTAGCATAAGAACATGGCAAGTCCGAAGTTCGGCACACATGGCTGCGAGAACTTCGGCCGTTGAAACAAAACCTGTCTGTTCAATTAACACCACCATAATCACACTCCGTCCGTGCATCTGTGGGCAGTCAAGGTCCGTGTATTGCAACCTCAGACTAGCCATGACACGCGGGCAGCGCACTGACAGGGTGGGCACCACTTGGCCGTAAGCCCGAGTCATGAAAGCTGCGTGCGATTTAACGAGCGAAGACGAGATGTCCCGCTTCTTTCCGTGGGGGAGAAGGCAAGAGAACAAGCATGCAAACAGATGCAGCAGCAACTAGGAGAGCAACCAGCCTCTGGCAAGCACAGATGATGATGTCTTTCATGAGCACAGCGAATCTTTGCTTGTGATGTGTCAATGGTGATATCCTTCTGGAGGCCCCAGGATCTCCCAAACCAGCCACATTGAGCAATCAAACTCACATTTAATTCTGAACTTCAGGGGACCTGTAGAGTAGCAAGACCTCTGCATGAGAAGCAAGTGCAGAAATCTGCAGGGACAACCTGACACCTCGCCATTTCTGCCGCACAACATTCCTCATTGCAAAAGTTGTGTAACGGAAGGATAGGAGAACATTAGCATTCTCTCGCGGTCTGCGTGTCCGAATGAGACGCAGGAACGAGTCCACGGGAGGGTCCGGCGCATGCATGCCGCGCAGAGTCACATCCCGAGCCATCAACCTGAAAACTTCTGACTGCCTGCATTTCGTTGGCAGAATCTTCTCCATCCTCGCTGTCGGACTCCTGCGCTTCAAGCGTCTCTGGGACTGGAAGGAAGCTCTGTGAAATGCCTGGAACCCACGCGAGCTGCCGTCGTCCTCCTTGTTCTTGGACATGGCGCCCTTTTTCTTTTTCTTGCGCTTCCTCTTCTCGTGGTCGTAATGGCAAAACCTGCAGCGTCTCACACGGAACCCGAAACTCTGCTTAATCATTTTTTCTCGGCCGCAGAGGCCCCGTGCGTCTCTGCGCAGAAGATCCCGCAACCAAGGAGTCACATTCTTGTAGAGACTTCTATGCTGGGGTTCATAGGACCCCGAAGCTTGAAGCCTAGGACACAAGCCAAAACAGCACGGGTTCTCATAGCAGGTGCTGTAGATCTCTTCAATGCTCCGGGGCCGCCGGCTCGCATTCGCGGCCGTTGTTGCAGCGCCCTGGTGGCCAAGCTAAGCTTTAGGAAGTTTAGGGGCGAGTACCATTTTACATGCAAGTTTGATTTTAAAAACAGGAGTGACCCTGTATACACCCCCGCAAGAAGACTCAGAGAATCTGCACATGCATGTACATAAAGGATGAGTTGATATGGGTGTCGGGTATGGGTTTGTGGAAAGCCGAAGGAGTGCAGCTCAGAGACTGGGAGAAGAGGAAGAGCGCAGTTTCAGGCCTCAGGATTTGGGCCTTTCAGGGCTTAACCCTGAGCTACTGCCAAATGCCAACAAAGAACTCCGCTTCTCAAGAATCCTTAAATCCTGCGAACCGCCACAGCCAGGCCTTTTGGAAAGAAGCAGCACCTTTTGCAAAGCCCTTCGAAGTGCTGAGCACTGCCAGCCTCAGCTCGATGGCTACAGAACGGATGTACAAATCTGCCAACCTCAAATGTCACAGACCCTACTTGGCTGATCCCCGGTGTCCCTCACAGAGGATTAACGCCGCATGTTCGGGCTTCGGATTAGGTTGCTAAGTCAACCGAAGGAAATAGGGAGGAAAGCTCCCCATAACAGGGCATCACGACCACTGTCTCCCAGAGTCTTATGACCAACTTCTCGATGACGCTTCCCTTGCTGCAGGCTGCTGAGATCCGGGCTGAAGGAAGATCGGCTGGCAAAGGCCTGCGGCAAGCTTGGACAGATTGGCTTCAATCGGCAAAGACCGTGAGCTCGGAACTGACAAAATCCCCTGATTGCTTCACCACTCCCCCCTCTTGTAAAAATACTAATCATCATCATCATCATCATCATCATCACCACGATGGTAACAATAATAATAATGATAACAACAATGATACTAGTAGTAAAAATCATGGAAACAACAACAAGAACAATGATGATAATAGTAATAATGGCAATACTAGTAACTAACCACTTATAACAATACCAACACTGCTACTAGTCGTAATCAAAGGGATTCTACATATGTAGGCCCTGAAGGCAGGCAGTACCGTGGCAACCATTACCAAGTAAGATCCTTACAGACCCACAAAGGAACCCTTTTGTATCTTTTGCTATTGCTTTTTCAATCATGAATAACACAAAGAGCAAGACAACTGCAAAACACTTGCACAAGAGCCCTTAAAACCCATAGTGCTGAAGACCTCTCAGCCCTTCGTTGGCTAGGGTTTAGGGCTTTTGTTTGAAGCTCCTTTTTGTCCCTAAAGCAAGCCGAAGGTCAGAATGCCATGTTGGCCGAGGCGTTGGACTGCGCAGGCCAGCACACACACACAAACCAACCCACAAGTCAGCCTACTACCTAAGGCATGCAGAAGAACGTGTAGGCCAGCGCATGTAGTCCAAAGAGGATCTTCACTTCTTGCTTTGCGTAAACAAGGAACCACTACACCATCCCGACCGGTAATTTTGCAGGTGTACGTAAGCTTTTAGGGTTACTTTGGGCTCAATGCGAGCCTCGGCGGCTGCTCCGGCGCCTGAGAAGTCGAAAGGCTTCGACTTGGCTTTTGGGGCCCCCTGAATTTGCTGATTCAGGGACTGCTCATTAGAAGGATTCTACTAGATCTTCCGAGAAAAGAATAAGGCTCAGGGGTTTAGGACTATTTGAGACTAGGGTTTAGGGTTTAGAAAGGCTTAAGGCTTAGCGCATCTTCCCTGAACCCTACGCCTTAGCATCCTTTTATGCAGTGCTTCGGAGTTTGAAGCTTTGCAAGCTTCTGCAGCCATTGGCGAGCAGCGGCATTCTCACTCATAGTGTCATAGCACTCACTGCAATGGTACGCGCGCTCCCCAAGAGCAAGTTATGCAACGTGCCATGTGCTCTCTTGGAGCACTTCCGGTCTTCCCACTGAGTGCCCCACTGGAGTTCCAATCGGTGGCTCTGAGACTTTCATCGCACTTTGGACGACGCTCTGCATTGATGGCCCTGTCAGCCGAAGTGCATCTTTTTTGCTCTGACAGAATGCGATTCAGCACACTGAAGGATTTCGGCTGCTTCCCGGGCTTACCGCACAGAGACCAGAGCAAGGATCGCCCTCACTTAGCAGCATGAAGCGCTTGAACAGCGGGCCTATCCAGGCCGGAGCCGTGGCCAGCGATTTCTCATCTTCGATGCCTCAGCTGAAAGAACATACATACATACATAAAAAAATATATATATATATATATATATATATATGCCCTGCCCATGGCAGTGGCTTGGAACTTGGACCGAGATTTCCGAGGCAAGACGTGTTTCAGGGGACCAACCGCGAGGGCACACGCATGCGAGCCCCGACGTGATTTGCATGAACCCGGCTGATGCACTCAGCAGCCGTGTTGGAATTTGAGACCGGGACGTTCAGGCGCATCAAATTGGATGAACGTATTGTGAACGGGGATGTCCTGCGCGGCCCGGCTACCGCACACCAAAAGCAACGGCAGCAAATGATCAAAATATGCAAGAAGAGCACGTAGCCTGTACGTGCAGCTCAAGAGGGGAGAGAACATCGTTGGCAGGCTCCCCTCGAGCAGATGCTCACAAAGACATCCCATCATGCGCTGCTTGGAACCGATCATGAGTGGCTCTTCACACTACGGTCACCGCAAGAAGCCTCGCGAATAACTTGCAAAGGTGTGTCTTTCGATGTGAGTGCCCACAGTTTCGGACCCTCACCTTTAGCCAGTGGTCCTCTTGGGAGAAGAGTAGAGAGTCGGGGAGTGGCGTCGGCCGGTCCTTCTTCGGCCTCGGTCGCAAAGAAGCAGAGGTTAGCACATTGCACTTCGTCTCCAGGATCTGCTGCCGCGAGGCTCACTGATTCACGAGTTGATTTGAGGCTTGCTGCCCAACACGAAACACGGTGTGAAAGGGAACTACTCCGCTGATTTCGGTTTCCGACCTGCATACCTTCCACCGACGAAACCCTTGTTTGATTGTCAACGGGTACATCGCACCTGCTGATTGCTGAATGTCCAAGCATTCTAACCCTATGCTGGGATACTGCCTGCCACTGGAGCCCAATCTAGGGTGCCAGCATGTTTCTCGAATCCGGACAGGCCTCCCAGCATGCTGGGCTCTATACTCTAGGCTCCACAGCTTTCTCCTACAAGCACCGATAGCAAGCTTCCAGCTCCGGCTGAAGACTTCGGCTGTTTAGGCTCCCCTGCAGCCCAGGAGCGGTTCTCACAAGTCAAACACCCTCCGACACAAACAACGCCCGACTCCAGAAGTAGGGTTCGGCGCCTGGCGGTGTTCGCTTCGATCGACTGAGCACTCAAACCGATGCCATGGCGAGCCTCGGTGCTCCAATCAGTGCTTAGGGTTCAAGGACTGGGAACTTCGAGGGTGGTTCTTCTTCTTCGTCTTCCTCCTCCCCCCCCCCTCCGCCCCCTCCTCCTCCTGCAGCAACTACTACTCCTCCTAGTGCCGCTACTGCTACTGCTACTGTTACTGCTACGTCTACGTCTTTGTCTACTGCTACCGCCAACACCACGACCATCACCGCCACGACTACTACCAACAACACAGAACCTACAACCTACAACCTACCAGCACTAGCACCTACGACCTACCACCTACCACCTACCACCTACTACCTGCTCCTACTACCTACTCCTGCCACCACTACCACTACCCACTCCCATGCCACTGCCACTACCACAACCACTACCACTCCCACTGCCGCTACCACTACGACTGCGACCGCTACTGCTACTTCTCACTGCAGAATTCTCACTGTCCACTACACTACCCACCATTTCCCACGGCCCCCTTCCTCTTACTCTCTCCACCTCCACTACCAGCACCACTCTCAGCGGTGCTTGCCTTCTCCACATACTTCTACCGTGAACACCTGCCATGCTGCTCTTACTCCACATGTATCCCGAGGCCGAAGCGTCCCACGTACCCGGATTTGGCACAGGGCTCTTAGGGTCTTCTCAGGTGAGATGTCGCGGCTGGCAAGCCTAGTGATGCTGGTGGGGCTAAACCATCCCATGTTGATGGGGACACATGCGGGTTCGCTTTTCTACCCACTGGTCCTGATCCAAAGCCGCGCAATGTACTGAATGGCAGCTCGGACATGTGGTCATGGCGTTGGTCCGTACCGAAGGGTCATACACAAGGAAGCGTCTGGCGATCCTACTTGGGAGACAGCATTAGCTCTTGCTTTGCCCGATTAAGTCAGCTCGGGCTGTGGTACGGCACTGGAGAATCAAAGCCAGCCGCCTTTTGCTGGGCGCACGCGCCCATTGCATCCAGCTATCGCAAGCGATTCTGGCTTTGCCGGAGATCTTTGCTCTGCGGGAGTGCCAGTTGCAAGCTTTGCAGGCTAATCCCGCAGAGAGGGCGACACCGGAGGGACCTGACCGCAGCAACAAATGAAGCCATGCCATCCACTACTGCGCTGTGGGAAACCATTTCACACACAATAGAAAACCCGATTCGCGCCAGGGAGCTCGCGTACTCAGGGGGTTCGCCCGCGGACGGGCTGATTCGTTCAGCGGACGGCGTCTCACCCGGAAGTTGACTGGCTTTTGGACTTGCGCACCGGCTGATTCGCACGTGGAGGCCGCGCCATTCGGACTCAACCCTAAACGCCAGCACAAAAAACCCTCAAAGCCAAGAATCCTCAAAACCCCAACGACCAACAACCGAAACCCCTTGAGAATAGCCAGCGCAAGAACCGACGTTTGTCTTGAGTCGCCAGTGCTTGAATGGGGATTGTGCTCGAATCGTGTGTGCAAGCATCCCCTGCCGCATGCCTGAATCACACTAACTCGTGGCCAATGCTCGAATGACGGGGTGGAGACAGAAGAAAATCTTCCAAGTTTGTGTCCCATTGACCTGGTTCAGATCACTCAAGGGCGAAAGCCGTAAGCACGACATCCAAGATCAAACCCACGCACCCCCACATACATACGTCTTGCAGCGAGTCGAAAAAATAGCCGGGCTGTAGACCCTAAACGAAAGTCTGGGCATGCGATACGAAACGCTTGCAAGTCGCCAGCTCCGCCAGCCGATTTGCAAAAGAAAAGAAGCAGCGGCCAAAGCCCGCTTGAAGAGAAGCCCTATTCCCTGCCTTGAGCGCCCGGAGCCGCGCGGCCGCGGGCCCGGGGGAGGCCATGGGCCCCGGAGACCGGCCCAGGAAGCCCGGGCTTGGGCTCAAGGGGCCCGGGGTCTTTCCCAAGGAAGGACTGGGCGAGAGGAGATCCTGAAGCTTCGCTTCTAGTCCCAGAGAGGTGGGAGTTGCGCAGCGGAGGATTATATCTGTTCAGACTTGCACTTTGAGATCGAAAGCTCTCTTTGAATCTCCCTTTCCGAAGCCTGGGCACCCGAAGCTGCAACCTATCCGCCGTTCAGCCCAGAGAGCAGATCCGCAAGAAATGCACCGAAAGCAAGCCCTGAGGAGTCAAGTCCGATCTCCTTCTCGTGCGACTCCTCCGCCGGAATGGATTCGGCGGCCACCTTCGAAGCACAGCTTCATAGAGTCATAGAGAGGAGTTGACAACCTCTGCTACTCTGGGAGGTGCCATCCCGGAAGCCCACCTCCTCGAGTTTCTTGATGTGCCCTTTCAGGAGGTCCATGGTCTTGTCCATCAAGGCGCAGGACCGCTCCAGGGTAGTGACCTGCAAAGGGAAAGAAGGGAAAAAACACAGAAGGGACCCCCTGGTGGTGTTGAAGTTATACTTCAGGGTAGGCGGATGGGAGACATCTTTTGCCGTTCGGATTGCAGAATAGCAAAGCGAAGGCGCTGCATCCGTTCCAGGCTTTGGGACACCGCCAACAATGGAAACTCCCTTTGGCCTGGGTCTCTGCATCCTTGGCAGTGTCCTCACAAGCAAGAGTCGGGGCTCTGGAAATTGAAACTCTGTCGGCACCTCCAAACGCCAGCGACACTACGAAACAGTTCTCTGAAGTTGAAACAGTTTCTGTCCAGAAACGGCCTGTCCTGTGTCAAGAACTGGAAGTACATATCCGAGGATCTGAGCAGGGATGCGAGAGCTGCAAGATGTTCAATGCTGTAGGCTTCCACGCAGCAAGTGCTCTTGGGACACCTGCTAATCACAGCTCTGATCTGCTACTTATTAACTTATCCAGTCCAAGCGGACTCGCAAAAAGCCAGATCACAAATATGCTTTTCTTGGAATTATCAAACCGTTCTGGGCCGGTTTGTATCATCACACATTCGGCGAGGAAGCAGCTTTGGGTGGAAGCAAAAACAAATCCGATGTCACGCGCGGAGACGTCAGGCGAGCATTGATCGCATGGGCAGGCACTCTACGGTGTCTCCACAGGTATAAACAACACGTCAACACTTGATGTAATGCCTGGGATTGGTCCCACGTGCTATCGCGTGCCTGAGCTGTCCGGAAGCCACGGCTTTGTTGTAGCTGGCGATTTCAAAAGCTCGCAGCACTTGCCTGAGGCAAAGACACTGAGGCTGCAGCCAGCCACGAGCACAAAGCATGGACATGTCATGAACCCTCACAAACCAAGCGCTGAAGCAGAATACTTTGGTGGCATCCTTGATGGCATGCCTTTCCCGAACTCGCAGTCTGAATGGTGATTCTCTTGCAGCTGGGGCACTTCGAAGCTTTCTCCCCCTCCTTCAAGTGCTTGGTGGCTTCAGCAATTTTCTGCTTCCAAGCCTGGAGGACACGATTGGGCCCAAGCTGGCGTGTGATGCCTGAGCTATTAAGAGACTGATACTGACGGATGAACTTGCCGGCGCTGGGCCACAAATGCACACTTCCCATCCTCCAGCTTGGTCGGCTTCGATGAAGTGGCATAACTCCTACTCCTGAAACATCCTATCCCTACCAAGGCCATTGCCTTGGCTTCTGCGTTGTCACGGATGGCCTGACGAGCCAAATCTGCATGACACGAGGAAGGATCGGCACATACAGGGATTAGGTCCTGCTCATGGATCCAGACGCCCTGGATAATCATTACCCCATCGTCCTATGCAACAGCATTCCAGGACTATTTACGTTGATCGGCCCTCCGCCCAGCCTTCGACAATCGCTCTATCTCCGGCTTTATCCTGGCAGGAAGACCCCGTGCATTGCTGGTCAAGCTTACTAGCATCATCGTTCCGAAGGCGTCAACGTGTGAAGCCGTTCCATGCCTTGCAAGACACTCTCCTGCCTGGCGATCTCCTCCTCTGGTGTCTCATTCTCTCTGCCTTTTCCAAGGTCCAGTTCCGCTACATGGGAATCAGCTTTGTGCAGTGCAGTCCAGCACTTCGTTCCCCGGTGCTTGAACTGGGCTGTGCACTGCTTGCTCGGGCACAACACGGAGGAAATTCCAAGGTTGAGGCAGGACTTGCTGGTTGTTCTAAAGGATATCCTTCTGCATGTCTGTGTATCTATCAGTGTACATTCGACTGTTTAGAAAGTCGTGCACCTAGAGATGAATCTGAGCGCTCCGACCTATTCACCCACCTGCCCTGCCCTGGCCCTGCCCTACCCCACCTCCCTCTCTCCCTCCCTCCCTGCCTGCCTACCTGCCTCCATGAACGCATCTGTGCATACATGCACAGATTTACCTATACACCCCATGTACACACCATATATGCGTTGCATCAAAGGTTTACGAGTTTACGATGCCAAGGAACCACGCACATGCTCAGGCCGGCACTCTCCCAGTCGAGCTGGGCCTCCACACGGACCTGCGAGGAAGTGCAGGATGATCTGTGCTTTGAAGGTTTGGCTCGCGGCGTCTGCAGCGACACGACGGCGCTATCCCTAGCGGCCCTGCAACTCGAAAGACCGGCTATCCTCCTGAAGCCTGGCTGGTCCTGCTGAGGCCAGACCCGCAAAGTCAGGGAAGCCACCTGCCTTTGAAATCTCTGAAGGTTCGGGGAATGGCAGAAGGAAGAACAGACGAACCCGAACCCATCGCAGAGTGTGCAAGAATTGGCCTCCGGTTTCTGCTTTGTCGACTCAGTCTTCCGCTTCTTGGAGCTGTACTCCTTCCAGGCCGCCTGCCGCCGAGGGCTCCGGGTTAAAGGAGTTGTCTCAGGCTGTCTCAGGGCTCAAGGTTCTTTGACAGCCAAGGCGGCCAAGCTAGACTCAGACGCTGTCTCCTCGACTTGCCCGAGGTAGCCCCTCAGAAGCCACCAGAACTGTAACACTTTGACCAGATCCAAAATCGAGGTCTTGGTGGTTGTGTGGGCTTCCTGAGATGTCATCGACTCCGAGGCCCCCTTGGCACCCCTTACCAGACGCCTGTGGGGCAGCATTTGGTGCAGCCGAGAAGACCGCCTGGCAGCGGAGGATAGGGGTTTAGTACCGCGACTTTGCTGGACCTAAGTATCTTCAGATGGCATAAAACGACATCGTCTTGCTGTATTGCTCGCCATCGAGCCTGATGTATCGGTCTTCCTCGATTCCAGCTTTAGGTTCCGAATCGTTTCCAGTTAAAGCGACATCTTTCGTCTCTTGTTGTCTACAGCTCAGATCTCAGGCCAGCAATCCGGTAGGTGCTTGCGAACTCTGTTGCTTTGAACAGGCTCCTGATGATGTCTTGGCATCTCTCTTCTATGGTGCGGTAGGTTCATGTTGATGCCACAGCCCTTGATCTGCCTGGAAAACGAACTTCTCCTACAAGCTCTGTACAAAGGCGCTCACAGCCTCAGATGACACACAATGACCTGGGTTCTTGTTACGATGTTTGAATTCAGCTACCATAATAATATCGAAAGCATATGATTCACTATAGATCCCAATCATTGTACAGTAACTTAACTTGAAGAACCCAGGATCCAAAGCCTGCAGTTGTTTCAGGTGACATCAAAGCCTGATCGCTAGCTCGGCAGCACAAACCAAGCGGCTTTTACGACTACAGACCTACCCTCGCCCCTGGACCTGCCACGTAGGAGGTAGACCTTCCAAGGGGTCTGCCTCCAGTATCACGGGACATGACATGGATCACAAGATCTACGGACAAAGCAGATCTCCAAGCAATAGAAGTGCAGTGCCACACAGGAAGGCCTCCGGAGCCTTCCAAGGCAAATCGAGGTATGCTTCGAAAAGCGTTATATTTCTGAAATACTGCCTTCCAGTCTTTCGATATTTCGCACGATGACGAAAGTGCATCAGATCATTACTCGGCTCCTTATGGCAAAGCTTTCACTCTTCCTGCACGCGTTGGAGGATTAGGAGGAGGAGGAGGAGTTGGAGGAGGAAGGATGAGGAAGGAGGAGGAGCTGCAGGAGGAGCAAGAGGAGGAGGAGTTTTAAGCACCAGCTGCCAGGTTGCCTCTGCTTTTCTGATTTCTTGTTACAAGAATTATAAGCATCATCACCATCTTGTAATGAGTATGCTTGTTGGAGCAATCATAGCAGCTATAGTCCTGGTGCAGAAACACCGGTTGATGTTCTTAGTTAAATTATGGCCCAGCCTCGGGCGGTGCTCGCTTGTGGCTGCCTTGCTTCTTGAGGGACCTGTACCTGGTTTGGGGTGTAGGGTTTAGGGCTTTAGGCAGGTTTGAGGGTGTAGGGTTCAGAGCGGAGGGTTTAGGTTTGAAGGTTTTGGGTTGAAAAGTTTAGGGTGTGCAAGTAAGGTTTATGGTGCAGGGTTTCGAGTCTTAGGGCGTAGGCGTTGGGGTTTGAGGGTTCGGGGTTTAGTCACCTTCCGTCTGAGTACGAGGAAATCGTTGCCTTGGGAAGAATCCTTTGGTCGATGGCTCCGGTTCCGGTTGGTTTCCAACCCAGCTCCTTCCGGAAAGGACTGAAAAGTCCACAGCCCTACGTATGATAAAAGCCTACTCCTGACTGAAGTCTGCCTAAGCAAGGACCTGAAATCCCACGTGAGGCTCTGGTCAGAGCTCGGCAAAAGGCTGGGGATTCCTCAAGAAGATCCAGCGTCTTTGGCTCAGTCTGTGGTTCTTCTTCACCCCCAGTTCTACACCCTAAACCCCTAAACTCCTAAACTCCTCAACCCCAAAGCCCTAAACCCCTAAACCCTAAACCCTATAATGTGGAGGGGTCCCTGGCGCACTCGGCTTGCGCACGCGGTTCAGCCCTGATGATCTCGCTGACGTCCTGCCTGCAGCCGAATCACAAGAGGCTTCAAGGCTGGATGGGCACAAAAATTGCCTTCTTTCGTTACATAATTAGACAGGCTGGTGGTCTCTTTGTCTGTTCGGTTTACTACCAAATACAGCGACTTTTTATCGTGATAAATCCCTATATACAGCCCCCTAAAACAGAAACCCCAAGTAAAGAGACCACCGACCTGTATAAGTTACATGGGCTATCATGTCTTGATATATGTTTAATAGTTTTGAAGTACAGCTATACCCTAAACCCTAAACCCTAAACCCTAAACCCTAAACCCTAAACGACAGGAGGTATAGCTTCAAGTAAAAAGTCTGCAGGGCCCAGGCTGCTAGTCCAGGCCTGGTCAACGGAGTGCCGTCTCGCCAGCCGTAGACGCGAAGCTCGGAATCCTGCAATCAAGATGAACCCTAGGGTTTAGGGTTTAGGGTTTAGGGTTTAGGGTTTAGGGTTTAGGGTATCAAGATGAACCCTAGGCGCGAGCACAGCACAACTGCAAGGGGCATCTTGGCTTCTGGTCTGCAGTTCGAGTCAGCAAGTTGACTTGCGCCGCCTGGGCACTCCCTCTACATGATGGCTTCAAAAATATCTCTTACCCTTACAAGACGGACGGATGGAACCTCATCATCTGGCTTGCCCCAAGGAGACCTCAGAAATTGCAAAGGGCAGTAGCTTGGTTGCATCTGCTGGGCTGCAGATTCTCTTTCTGATGTCAGCCACGGGTTCAACCTAATGCTATCATCCCGAACCAGACTCTAGGTACAGTGCTACGCTCCGCCATACTTGCACATCGCATATGTATCTGTGCAAATGTTCGAAGATGCACGTGCATGTATGTATGTATGTATGTATGACATTATGTATGCATTTATGTATGTATGCACGTATGCATGTATGCATGTATGCATGAATGCGTACATTCAATGTATGTGCTTGTGTGAGCAAGTGCAAAAGTACTGCGATAGCTGCGGAAGAACATGCCCAATGAAAACCAGGATGATGTTCAAGATCTCTCCCGACTCGCAACTTCCAACCCTCAGCAGTCACATCTGAGGGGTTCAGGTTAGAGGCTCTTGGCTTCAACGTTCATGGATCTCTAGAATCGTGAGCACCACGACACCTCGATAAGGCTGGTGGCAACGGCTCCTACACCATGCATCTTCATCCAAAATCCTTCCAGGACTGGCCGGAGATCCTTGCAGCGACTTCCAAAGCCCTTCTTGCAATCCTCCCTATCTTGTAAAGCCTGCCACAGGCAAGCCCAATGAAACAGTCATCATCATCATCATCATCATCATCATCAGCATCATCATCATCATCAACTTTGAACCACCAACGATTAAACTATCATTGAAGCATCATCATAACAGTAATAATACAATACCAGGCAGAGCTCCGGGGCCGCAGCAGCTCTTCCTTGTCTTCGTACTTCCGATCGTCTTCCTCCTCCTGGCACCGGAGGCAAAACGCGGGATCTGGCCGGGAGTCCTCAGGGTTCGGTTTAGGGATCGGTCGGATATATGGGTGGTTGTCAAGATTATCGTCCCTTTTTGGGGTCCTTATTATAATACGGCACCTATTATTTAGGGTACCCCAAAAGGGACCATAATTTTGACAACTACCCATATGTTCAACCAGGAAGCACTGAATCACCGAAGCCGAAATCTGCAACTGGAAGCAGGAAACCTGAAAAGCAAAAACACTTCACAACGGGAACCTTGGTAAGATATGCCATGGCTCCAGACAGCGGGCACTGGAACGCCGGTGCAGATGCAAATGCACGATTCGCTGGGAGGGTTTGGGTGTAGACTCTGGGGTTTGGGCGAGTGCCGAGATTGGCCGAGTTGTTATGTTACGATCCGAAACACAAGATCCCAAGAATGGCATATGGGGTGGTGCGGTTGTTCAAGAGCTTGGATCTGGGTTGTGCGGCGCATGGCTAACGGCGTCAATGCGAAGGAGAGTTGTGGGTCAGAAGAAGCCGTAGGTATCAGATCGATCCATGTGTCTAACATGAATTGCATACACACTGGCTGCCATGGTTCGCAGCTCACAGCCGAAAGGGCTAGCGGCTAGCGAGGTCCGCCGACCCCTTCGGATTCAGCTCTTCTGATATCACCGTCTAAGAACCATCTGGTAATCACGATACTGATGACTATGAACTATGAACGATAATTCTGGGGATCAGCTTCATCGCGGGGTAGGGAGATGAGGAAGCGGAAGAGGGGTAGAGGAGGAGGACGGCGACGATCCCAATGATTCCGCATGGGAAAACGATCCCGATGGCGGTTACTACTACGCCACGCTGCCCCAAGCAATGACAACCATGATGACCAAGAAGAAGAACTGCAAGAAAACAATAGCAGCGAGTATGACAATGGTAGTGATGCTTATGATGATGATGATGATGACGATGATGACGATGACGATGATGCTCACAACAACGACGATCAGAATTATAATCCTGATAGTACTAATGGAGATGATAGCGGCGAGGACCAGGAGGAGCACAGCGGTGCGTGTCTTGATGCACGCTCCCAAATGTAAGGATAGTAGCGACGCTGAAAAGGAGCACAAGGCAGATAATAACAGGATGATGATGCTGCTGATGATGAGGGTGATGACGATGATGGTGACGATGACGACGACGACGACGACGACGACGAAGACGACGACGATGATGATGGTGGTGATGGTGCTGATGATGATGGTGATGATGACGATGATGATCATCATGATGATGATAATGATGATGATGAATACGATGGTGTTAATGTTGATGTTGATGATGATGATGATTATGATGATGATGGTGGTGACGATGATGACGATGACGACGATGCTGATGATGATGGTGATGATGACGATGACGATGATGATGATGATGTTGATGATGGGGATGGGGATGAGGATGATGATGATGATGATGATGATGTTGATGATGATGGTGCTGACGATGATGATGGTGATGATGATGATGATGATGATGATGATAACGATGGTGGCAATGATAACATTGATGACGATGATGGTGATGTTGGTGATGATTATGGTGATGATGACGGTGGTGATGATGGTGGCGCTGAAGGTGGTGGTGATGGTCGTGGTGAAGGTGGTGATGATGATGATGATGATTGCAATGTAGTAGTCATGACAATTACGAGAAGTATGCTACGTTGCCCGACAACTACGGGAAAGACGCCGATAGTGAACAGTGGCTGCTGCGACCACAGCGCCGCTTGCTGCCTCTGATTCTAATTCAATTCTGATGATGCTAGCAGGCCTCTGCTGCTGCTGACGTTCTTGATGGTGATCCGGGAAGGTTTTGGGGGTTTGTGATGAAACATCGAAGGTGGAGATAGTATCGCTCAGGCACCGGATGAGGTGATGGTTCTGATGACAAGGCTTCCGGTCTGGTAAAATCATGCTCATGTATCGGAATACCATGTGTAGTTCGCAGCAGCAGCAGCAGCA